ATTGAAGAAATTTTGATGATCTATCGGATGCTTGATGCTTAGTGATGATGTATGTTACTCCTCATATATAAAGCTCCCAACGAAAGCCACATGGAGGTATTATGTGTAGACATCTTGCAACAAGTCAAAATAAAGAAAAGACTGAAGTAGCCTTACAGTCGAGGCGTTATCTCCATCGGGGTTCTTTTGCTGAGACGCTTACTCTCTAAGCCAAACCTCTTCACATCCAAAGCTCTATCTCTTATAGCATAGTGCTCATTGTCTTTTAAAGCAGGTTTAATGAGTATCTTGAGGAATGAATGGTGTAATATTTATATTAATAAGTGTTAGACTTGTCAGCCTAGAAATGTAGGGCTGCTAACCACTTGTCAATATAATTGTCAATGTAATTAATGTACGACAGAATGATGTGAGACTTAGGTTAATTAGATGGAGTCATGTGGATATGATCCAACGGTGACCGCGTCAACTTGAATGCTATACATAGCAATTCTTGTAACATTGTAAAGTATTGTCAAACAAACAAACATATTTCTTATTTTCACTTCCACTCTAGTTCATTCTATAGTAATTTGTTAGAGTTTGGATTGCATATACCTTGGTAGAATTGTTGTGATTGTGCTTGTTCATATTCATTCTTGTTCACATAGTCGAAGCTTGAACATTTTTGTCTCACGTCATAAAGCATCTTTCACGTCCATCAACGTCACCCTCACTATTTCGACCGAATCTTCGATCGAAACGTGCCAAAATTTGCTTGTGTGGACGGAGTAGGCGCGACGTTTGTTGTCTACATGACCATAGCAAAAAAATGGGGTAAATGGATTGGCGCCATCAGTTCTTCAAGGAGTTCAACTTAATGGCTCGAAGAGTTACTTCTTTCATTCATTTGAGATTTTCTTTTTGTTGGCTTACACAGTTTTCTGATGTCCTTTTCCTCCTTTACAGAAAATTTTGTGAAAATGAGGCATCCCAATCTTGACATGGCCACCATCCTTGCAACTACCTCCATGGCTGGAAGGAAAGAATTGAAGCCTCATCAGTTGCTTCCAAGCTAGTGAGGCATTAAGTGGAGAGGTATGCCTTCACCAAAAGCGGTCTCCATCCACAAAAAGTAGGACCTCACTAGTTGGGCCTAGGTGTTAGGAACGAACTACATAAAGGCCAGTCCGCATAACCTAAGAATGGCTCTAAATAATGGGTGTAAAGGCAATCGAAGCCCTACCTTAAAAAGGAACTCGCTCATCATGACACACCCTGGCCTAAAAGAACAGGCACGCTCATCAAGGTAGGAGCTAAGAGTTCTATGTCGTAGGACATACGACATTTTTTTCCCTAAGAATCAATAAACGAGAAGCATCTACAATAGGTTGGATTTTGGCAACTCTCTAAACCACCTCCTCATTTTCCCCACCCTCTGCTGGAGATAACACACTCTGTCCAACCTTAATAGCTTGAAAAAGGTTGATAGTATTGGTAAGTTCGACCCCCATTTCAGAGGAGATATCCCTAATATCTATGTTCTCCTCAAAAGGTGATGAGGCCTTTACTTTGACTATCAACAAATTTTGGATAGACTTACAAGATTGAGTTGAAATCACAGAAAGAAAGTAATAGAAAAATACAAACAAGATTAAGAGATGATTGCAAATTGCAAGTGAGCACGAGAAAGCTTGAATTCTTTGATAGTAAAACGAAAAAAATGATTTTCGCCCTCGATTACCACTTTTATAGGCAAAAGCTCTCAATCACAACCGTTGGATGTCAAGTCGAATCATCTGGCCATTCATTATAAATTAAATATCAGCCACTTACTACTTCTATCGTTTCGCCTTCAAATGTCCAGATTAGAGCTTCTGACTCACGCGCTCCAACACATGTGAACAATGAAAGACACGCCCACGACAGTTATCATTACGCGTTAAATGCAGTGATGGTTGCATGTGTGGGAACTCAAACCACTACAACCTTTTTTCTGGGAATTTTAGAAGACAACTAATCATTTTTGCACAATTATTAAGGACACTTCGTGTTCATCAATGCTGAACTGGTATACCTCTTCTGCTTCATTGCTTGCAACATCGCCCAAATTGACGAAGACAAAGTATGCCATCTCTGCTTCAACGTTCATAACTTCAAAAGACCAAATTTACATAATAACAACCTCGATCAAATGAACATCAGCTTTGCTTCAGCTTCAATATAAACGAAGCCCAAGGCAATTTGGCAAATGGCATTGGTAAGTACTTCGAGTAATCCAACATATCCGATTCTCTAACTCTAATTTCCATATAAATATCGGCAACTAGACTTGGAGAACTGTAATCATGGAATAAAAAATTTCATCTCTACAATAATTTTCTCAATAAAACACAAGTCCATGTATTACATAAATGACCATACATAGACTTAAGAACCTATTGTTATCCCTTATATATAAAGCTCCCAATGAAAGCCACGTGGAGGCACTACATAAAGACGTTAGGCAGCAAGTCAAAATAAAGAAAAGACAAGAGTTGCCTTGTCGTTGGGTTTTTTCCACTTTTTTAATAGGGATGGGGTGGTGCTACGACCCTTGGGCTATGGCATCGCAGTGCCCAGTTTCAGTAAATTTTTTATTTTTTATTTTTCATTTTTTTTAGAATAATTGAAACAAATATGTTATGTCTAAAATGCAATCTAAATTTTATTCCACTGTGTAACAATAAGTTTAAGTTTAATTGCATAGATTGTTTTTGCACCATATTACGCACGTTTTCCAATATATTACTTTGTCCTCTTCAATATGGTATGACTTGCCTAAATTATCTAATTTAAACTCTACTAAGAATACTTCGATCTACTCATCAACTTTAATCACAAAATCAGTAAAGTTGAAGGTTTGCATGCTAATTTCAACTTCTTTGAATACCACTAATTCGTTTGGCTCCTCATAATTAATTTCTCAATTTCGACATGTTTTTCTTCTTTAGTTGTTGATTCCTCGGGTTTACTAATGAAGTGAACATCCATAAGCATATTACTTGACTCATCCGAAATTATTCGATCTTCATTCCTTATTTATTTTTGCATGATAATATATCCTGTAACTATTTCACCGTCATCGTCTTATTCTTCATATGGATCATCGAAGATAGCTTTCCTACCTTCCTTTGAAGTTGCTAATAACAAGCAATTTTTAGTATAATGCAATGCATCACAATATTCACATGTCGGTCTAATCTCTTCATAAATAATAGATTTGATATTTAATCCTATAATCAAGACATCCTTATCAAATACGATAGGATGATTGTATCCCCACTTTTTAAGTTATTGTTGGGAGAGAATTCTCCAAATAGCATATAACAATCATCTAAGCCGGATCAATCTTTGTAAAGTTTTTTCACTCATGCTTCTTTTCATTCTCTATCAAGGGGAAAAAAAAATTTTCAAGTAGATAAATCGAAAAAGAAAGAGGAAAAAAATATCAAACAAAAGTATAAAGTAATTTAAACTAATACTAAAATAAAAATAGTCCTTGGCAATAGGGTCAAAACCTTGTTGTAGAATTTATTATCCTTCGATGTACTGATCACAAAAAGTAATAAATCGGACCTACTAGTCCGGATATCTTTCCTACGAAACTTTCATCTAACAATTGATTCAATTATTTCTAACTTCAATTTGATCGAAAACAAACAAAATAGTTATTTTTTCTTTTTGCGATTTTCTATTTTAAGTATTCTAAAACAAATAAAATTGATTTTTTTTAATACGATGGTTTAAGTGACAGAATTCATGATTTTGCCATAGTAATCCCCTTAATCTCAATCACCAAGTTTTATGCAATTAATTATGTTTATCCAATGAATTTCTTCTAACATATTCAATTTACCCCCCTTCGAGTTCTTATCAAATCTATTCAACTAAGTCAATTACATATATGCATATGAATTCGAATATACCCTGGTTAAATGCATTAATCTCTAAAAATCCATGGAACGATTGAAGTAACTAGCATAAGTATTTTAGTTCTCAATTTTAACTACATGATTTAAACAAATAATCACCATCTCTATGTAATTATTACTCACAAATCAATGAATTAATGATCAATTAATCAAAACATTAAGATTGGAGTAAAAACAGTTCACACAATCAATTTGAAATTTAAAACTTTTTAATTAAAAATAAGGTTCAAAATTAGGTTACAATCATTAATCCGAACTAAAACTGTTTTATGTCAATTTGGTATTCTACAATATGTTGTAATAAAGCCTTCTCCATTATTCACGTTATATTTATTTGAAATCTTTTATAATACAAACTACGTTTTCATTTTATAATTTTAAAGATTATCAGTTTAATAATTATTAAACTTTCTTTTAATATGGTAAGTACATTTTCTTAAATATATTTTTAATATATTAGATGATTTTAACAAAATAAGAATAATTTTTATTACAACCAATTATAATACTACATGAAGGTATCATCATAATCAATCTCCATCTTACTAATTGTATATACATACGTGTACAACAATTATGTACTTTTATTTACCAAGTGCTCAAATGATATTTAATTAAAAGTAACCCTACGAGGTAGCTCAGTAGTCAGATCTTAGATTTGCTCCCTAATAGTCACCAGTTCGAGTTCCCTTAGGACCACTGAGGTGAGTATCTGGCTGTAAACTTTAGGACCCCGTGAGATTAGTCGAAGTGCGCGTAAGTTAGTCCGAACACCCATGGTTATCCCAAAAAAATAATGATAATAATAATAATTAAAAGTAAAAATAATTCTGAAATAAAAGTTTATCAACTTCTAAGCTTACATTTGTTTTATCAAATGATGGTAACATCAACCTAAATGGGAAAATTCATAATGAGTCGAAAAATAGCAGTTTTTGATATTCTTAGAAGATGGAAGCTATAAATGCCTCACAAGAATTGTTAGAACGGGCGAAATAGCTCTTTCTTTCCGATAATGGCAGCTGTAGATTTACACCTATATCAATCTGTCGTCAAAACAAACATGTCAATACATCACAAAAATTCATTTCATGCTACAAATAATCAAATTTGACGCAGGAGAAAGAATCTCGAAAACAATTCCTTAGGCAAGTTGTTCAACAAAACCAAACTTCAGAAGAAATTTCTTCTGGTTACAGTCCAGCATTTCACTCAAACTACAAGTTAGATTCTTTTGTTTCAAAAGTCTATGCCTCAACTCTAATCTTTTCTTCAAACCATGCTTAAAGAAGTCGGGATATTCAGCAGCTTCATCAATTCGTCTTCCCATAACTTGATCCAAAAACTTAATCCTCGGTCCTAAAGAATTAGTCGTACTCTTAATCAAGACAGGGGGATAACCAGCCACCAAAGCTGCTATCTGTCTCGATTCAAACCCACATTTCCTTAGGTATGTGACATTAGGACTCAGAATCTTGTTGGCATCACGACATAAAACTTCAGGGAAATTTAATGCTACACTTTGGAGGTGAGTTTCTGTAAGACCTAATGATTTCAGAAAATCTAAAGTTGGTTGTAACCTTTTTTCGACACTATAACCCATAATGAACGGGTGTTTGACCAAAACTCTACCAATCGTCCCATCTTTGCACAGGCCTAGACTTGCAAGAAAATCCACTATCTTCGAAAGCTTTTTTTCAATGCTGTAACTGATGATTCTCGGGTTTAGAAGTATCATCTTTCCCACTTGCTTTTCGGATGCACCAAGAGCTTCAAAGAAGGCAAGGAGTGGGCAGAGCTTCTCTTCCACACTGTGGAAGAGAATGTGAGGAAATTTAGTTATGGCAGATGCAACCTCCTTAGGCTTTGTCCCTAATGTTGTGAGGCACTGAACCATTGGAACAAGTTTTTCGTGCAAGTCAAGAGTGAGAATTTTTGGACACTTTCCAACAACCGCAGGAAGTTTTCTCTCATGGATGCCAATGCTTTTCAAGTAATCCCAGTTTTCTGAAGCTTTCTCCCTTTGCATGTCCTCAAGGCGCTTGCATTTCTTCAACATTTCATGTATACTTTTATTGTCAAAACCTCTGTCTCTGAAAAACCACATAATGCCACCACTGTTGCAGTTTGTTTCCATATTCCCTGATAGGATTTCAACGAAACATCATCTCAAGATAACGTTTTTGAGTAAAAATCACTAAAATTAGATACAAGCAAGAAATAAATACTCGCATAGTGGCAATAAACACAAATAATTTATTGATAGGTAATAACAACAATGAACAAAGCCAATAAATTTGGAGTCGGGCTACATGAATCCTTCTTCGTCATTCTGCTCTATCCATTGCCATATCTTCTGGGAGATCTAGAACAACTAGGATCCTTAGAAACTATAATAGGTCAATTAAATTTTCATCCACCTCTCCCTCTTCTAAGTTGCTCCAATGAAATCATATCATGGCTATGAAAGGAAGGCTCTTTAGGTTGAAGCAAAACATGACCCCCACTATATTCTTTATCCATTTTACCATGATGGCACATCCATTAATTGACAAACACACAACTATAAATGATTCCATATCCTTAGATATAAATGCAATCAAATTTACAGTTCCAGGCAGCGTAAATCCAGATATAAAGCCACCTAATATTTGATTTATTACTCAATGGTAAAAAGAAATCTTAAAATAACTTATGCTCCATCATACTTCTCTAGTGTTCTACAAGATTCAACAGGAACAATGTAAGTGATAGATATTACTTTCTCAAAGTGATAGCTAAAATGAATTTCCAGAGATTCAAAATAAACCTAACATTATATTAAAAAGAACCCTACTCATATCAGGTTAGGAATTTCAAACCAAGTGCGGCATTAAGGAACAAAAAGTACGAACCCCCAAATTGCACCGCTTCAGATATTATTACACAAAACGAGAATCTAAAAATAATCGCTTTCGACAGTTAAACACGAAACCATGAAAAATGATGGGCTTATCAAGAAATATAGTGCAGGGAATCTTGAAATTGAAAAGGGAAATGGAATTTTATACGGGGAATTTGATGAATTTTTAAAATAAAACAACAATCTTGTATTCGATTAAGAAAGAAACCAAATGTAAAAGGGATAGATAAACTAGAAAATAGGGGGTAATGAGCAAACGATACGGGAAAATCTTGAGAAAATGACTAACTCTTTGAAGATTTCGCGCTTCCGAAAGCCTTTTTAGAGACCTTCCTTGTACTCAAAAGCTCCAACACTCAGCCTGTCTGTCTCGCTCGCTCGTTCTCTCTGTGTTGCCTCAGGAACTAGCAGAGTTCATTTTATCCATTATCCTCTTTTACCTTTAGACTTTTATCATATTTTTTTCTTTTCTTTTTCTATTTCTGAAATTTGGGATGTAATTAAAAGGTAAATGTTTGTGTTTGATCTGAAAATTTTTCATGGAAAATAACATTTTTTTTTTCATACAAAATTTAACTTTTGAAGTATTTAATTATCTTCTTTTCATAAAAATAATTTTCAATCTTTAAAAATATACGTAATTTTCCTTCTTTTTTAAAGAAAACATAAACAATGAAAACAATTCTTTTTAGGAGACATAAGTTTTTGTTTTCCTCAAAACAACGCCAATCAAAAACATCCTTAATTTATTTAATTACCCAAATGGTCAATAATTTTTTAGGTTAAGTTAATAATCATTGAGGTTATTTTTAGACGATAATAATTATTAGTTATTAGTTATTACATTAATAATTACTCGATCAAAAAAATTAACAATGAATCTTTCACGGCACTAATAAAAACCGAATACATTATTTATCATGTCAGGTTAGTAAAAATCATCATTAAAAACATAGGCTTGCTATATGATTTTAGTTAAAAAATTTAACCAAAATTAAAGTCGCGTTACATAAACATTTTCTCATTCAAATATGTTTAATCCCTGTTTCCTAACTTCCAAATTTTACTAACTTGGAATATAAAACATTTAATAGTGCCACGAAGGATTTATGGTTAGTTTTCATCTTTATCAAGTGACAATTAGTGTAATAGTTGAAAACTTTAGAGCATATTATCGCAAGAAAATAACTTCGGTGATTATTAGCATAATTACTCAATAACTTTAGGGACGATTAACATAATTAAACCCAAATGTTCAATTTTATAAGGTTAAATTACAAATTTAGTCTCCAATATTTGACCAAATTTGAGATCATGTCCCAACTAATTTTCATCTTATTTTTTTCCCTCACCTCTAAAAATTTAGAAAATTAAGAACATCTTACCAATTCTGAAAATTAAACCCAAATGCATTTTTATCATTTTAAATATTTTCAATGAAAATTCTGAAAATACTCAAAATGTGAAAATAGAAAAATTAAAATTAAACTCAAAACAAAAAATTGAAAACTAAAACATAAATCAAATGGGCCCTTAGTTTGCCAATTTCTCAAAGGAAAATGCTTGTTATATATCACCATTTATATAATCTTTTACAGATTGATGAGATATCAAAAAGAATGTAAGAGAGTTTTTCTTTTTTATTTAGTTAATGAGATTTTTATCCAATCATATTTCATTACATCATCTATTCATAAATAAATCTGTAAGTTGTGATATACATGTAAAACAATCGTTTTTCAAAAGTTAGAGACAAAATACTTACTAAAAATGAGTTGCTTAAAGTTTTATTTCTTCCATTTTGTAATAATAACGTCAATTATACTTTTATATTATGATATCCAACCTTTTGCACTCCTTTTCTACCCGTACGATTATGTTTTACCTAAATTGATAAAGAATTAAACTAGTTAGACAGAAAAAAAAAATGTGACATGCAGTTTGACATCCTCTTACAGGATGTTGGGACTCGCATAAATAAAAAATTTTAAAAGAAGTGTCCCCCATCTCTATTGTGAGTGTTCGGTGAGGGGATCTATCATCCTCATTCTGTCAATGTAGCATAGTTGATATATAAATATGTAACTTTTTTTTTTACAATAGTATTTTAAGCTAGTTATAAGCAGTGGCGGATCTAGGGAGCGGCCAGCTAGGGAGGCTGCCCTAGCTGGATCCGTCGGGATATATATATATATATATATTTTGTAGTAATAGATTAAAATTTTTCTTTATATTTCTGGTAATTGATTTTATTTTCAAATATCTCCTGTAACTTACTTGGTGAGAGTCAGCCTTGACATATTTCAAGTCTTAGGTTCGAATTCTTGTCAATGAATTTGTTATGTATTATTTTTATTCTATAATTTTTACCAAAATCCAACAAGGGATGGATAATGAGGATTTGAACCTGATCTCAAGTAATGGTTGTGGTAAATTTAACCATTATGGTACCTCTTGGATTATGTTACTAAATTTAACAAAATGATATTTGTTAGGTTTTGATTGTTTTAATGCAAACAATTTTCAATATTCGAATTCATACTCTTCCTTTGAATAATCCAAAATTTGACAACAATGTTATTTGATGAGTTCTATTTATTTTTATAACAAAATTATATATATTCAGTTTGAACAAAATAATTGTTATATTTATACTTTATGCCTTGTTCGATTCCCCTTTTTTTTAAAACTACATTTTTCTTTTTTCTTTTCATTCATATGTTTTTCAATAAAATAATATTATACGTAAATCCAAAATTTTTCTTTATTTTTAGTCACACGTTCTCCATTAAATCACCATTTCAAAATGCATTTTTTTGCCCAAAAGAAAAAAAGGATATCAAAAGAACTTTTAATATTTCATTGCGGCTAACGGTAGATGGTTAACGGCCGCCCATGCTAACTCAAACTCCTGAAATCGCCCCTAGTTATAAGTATTTTGTATGTTAAACTAATATTTACAGTTTGTGCTCAATGACTAACAATATTACAGCTTACAAATGACATTACTTTAAAACTTATTTACTTCTCGAGGAATCAGAATTATGTCAAAATAAATAGATTATTCAATGTTCTCCAAAAATTAAAAAAAAAATAAAAAGAAACTATTCAATTTAATCATTAATAATTTAAAACTTATTTTTATATAGTAAATATTTTGAAATATAAAATTACTAAATTAATTCAATATATTCAAATGGAAATGTTCGCTTTCAAGGATTAATTCTACTAAAATGTAGTAATATTTATTATTTGTTTTACCAAACATTTCACCCTGGAACATATTCAGTAGCGTACTTCATTTGAAAAAGTAATGAAGACATAAACGTATAATCAGGTCAAGTATGTACAAATTTGGAAATGTATGAAATAAAAATGGTCAAATTACATCAAATAGGCGTAATCAAAAAATTAAACATGAAATTTATTGCAATAAATAATAATAATTTTATGCTAATGAATATCATTTTAAAAACTAAAGTAATAAACATTAGATTTAATTAATAGTTAGTAGCTTATTGAATTAACGAGGTTGAGTCATAACCTTCGCTACCGAAAATATCATAATATGCTTATGAATATTTGACACGTGTGAATAATTGGGTTGATAAAATTATGAGACGTCCAACTTACAAAAATACCCGTTTTTGAGAATAAAAAATAGTGTGATACTAAAAAGTGACAGAATGTCACTTTTAAAAGTGAAGTGTCACTTTTTTTTTTTTTGATAAGTATTAAGTGTCACTATTTTATTAAAAAATGACATACAATTTCACTTTTATTAAAAAAAAAAGTGATATATATCAATAAGGTGATCGAAAAAAGTGACAAACACTAAAAAAGTGCAAAAAAAAAAAAAAAGGTGACGAATTCAAAAAAATGACAAATAAAAAAAGTTACACAAATTAAAAAAAATGACAAAACCGAAAAATCTTAAAAATTAAAAAAAATGAAAAAAAAAAAAAAAAGGTGACGAATTCAAAAAAATGACAAATAAAAAAAGTTACACAAATTAAAAAAAATGACAAAACCGAAAAATCTTAAAAATTAAAAAAAAAAATGATAAGCTCAATAAAGTGACAATATATATTTTTTTAAATAAAAGTGACAAACACTCAATCTCACTTTTTTTTTTAATTAAAAAATGACAGACAATATCACATTTATTAAAAAATTGATCTTTGTCACCAAAAAAAGATAGAAATTAACATATAAGAAATTCTTATAAACAAATTGAAAGTTTAGCCAAAGATGTATTGTTCAATTAGAAATTGATTGTGTGTGACATTTTAATAAAAAAGTAGCACAACGTGCTATGGCACTTTTTAATGAAAATGTCACAAAATGCAAATTTAAAAAAAAAAAATGTATAAACACTATCACTCTTTATCAAAGCTTGTTAATCCTATACAAAACATCTATCATTAAACATTTTCAATACAATTTACAAGTTATCTTTGCGTCATCAAATATGTCTTCATCTCTGCCTCCATCGCCATATCACACGTTCCTTCATTTGACACTCAATCATTGTCTGAATCATAATCCTCATAATCTCTGTCCATCTTTCTTCCTGTGGCATTAAATATGGAAAAAATTCAATAAAGTGATAGAAATTAAAAAAAAATGATAAGAACTCAAAAAATGATAAACGCTAAAAGAATGATAAATACTCAAAAATTGACAAATAAATCAAAACATTAGCATAAATCCAATGGATGGTTGATTTCTTTTATTTGTTGTCTTCTTGTAATTATATTCACTAATATATTAACATATTTTTTAGCTTCCTATAAATAATCCTCAGTATGCTTATCGATAATATATACAACATTTTCGTATCTAGTAGATTCAAGTCTCCAAAATATTCAAGCATCAACCGCAACAAATAACATACAAGAATCTCAATAATGATAAGAAAATACTACATAAATAGTTCCACCAAGGAAGCAATATAATCGCCAAATTGGGAAAAAATTCGTCATATTTTTCATAAATTAAAATAGATATTTTTTTTACATATTCCTCAAAACACAAACACAAACTTATAACAATGATCCAAATACATAAAATCTACAAAGCCAAAACAAGAAGAAAATTTAACAGTTAATCTGTTTCTTGCATATTCTACATGCATAGATAGAGAGAATACCATCACATGCGTGAGCTAGGAAAGTATTGAAAGTCGATGGATGAAGAATAGCAAAACCTTATATTCAGCCGCCTAGCGGAATCGACTCATTTATAAGAGCACAGAATTGGATTATATTTCTCTTTCCTGTAATCTTTTAGGAGTCATCTGGAATCGGCAATTAGGGGTTTGATTTGGGCTTTCGAGTTTTGGGGCAGTTAAAGGAGGTTCTCGTCCCCGTTTGGTTCTCTTTTTTTTTTTTTTTTTTTTTTTTTTTTTTCATTAAAATGAAAAATATGATCGTTATACATCATATCAAATCACCAAATTTGAATTTTTATCTCTGTGTGGAGCCCGTAACGATTATATTTTTCATTCTCAATCTTCCAAAAACGAGAAACAAATGGGGCCTAATAAGTTAATAGAGTATTATTCAATTTCTTTAATTTTGGGAGGTAAATGGTCTAATTTTCCCAATTGTTAATATGTGTGGTTGACTTGGCCCAACTATTTGATCCAATATGAAACTTCTGGAATTGTGTGAAATCCGCCTTATTAATTAAGAATTTTTCATAAAAAAAAGTACAATTTTGGAAATTTTGGGAGTATAGTTGCAATTTGTTCTTTATTTTTTCATTATTTAAATAAGAATGTATATTTGTCGTTTTACAGCTTTTAATTGAAAAATGAGTGAAGATGATGATTTTGGAATTGAAATGTTAAAATAAGGGTGAAATGTCAAAAAATAAAAGGTATTGACATTTTGTACAATAATATTGAAATGTAGGAATATTTTGTGCTGATTACCATTTTAATAATTTATTTGGATTTATTTGCACTTTTTAAAAATGTTGGGAGTGTGATTACATTAAGAAATTGGATAAAAATAATAATTTCTGTAATGAAAGTGACAATAAGGATGAAAAGGTTAAAAAATGAAATGTTGGTACGTTTTGCACAATAACATTGAAAAGTAGGAACTTTTTATGCTAATTGCATGTAATTTAAACATTAAAGTCAAAATTCAGTTTTTATTATATAACTTGCAGAATCCATAATTACTATTCATTTATTTCTATCATTTTAACAACTCATAATTTCTCTCAAACAATATAATCTGGTAGTCTAACTAGTTATAAATAAGTTGGATATTTGACTAATCCCTCAAAAGAAGAGTACATTTTCTATTTTTGTAATATCAAATATTTAACAATGGGTATATTTTATTGCAATGACGCTTTGTTGTTGTTTTGCTCTGATGTATTCACTATGTCAAATCGACTATTACAAATTTCGACTTTAGTATTGATGATATGAAATGACCAAGTTTTATCTACTTTTGGGCCCTAACCCACCTATCTGGCCCTTGGGTGGTCGAACGCCTATGTGACACTAGCAATGTAGCAGGTCAAAATACTAATAAGATGGGTGTAATTGAGCGATAAATATGGAGCTAGAGATAAGAGTTTAAGAAACTGAAATCATATGTGTAATGTAATAAAAAATTTTAACGTGAAAAATAAGATTTCATATTTAAATTGTACTCGGCGAGGTTTTCAAAAGATTATTATTCTTTTATTTAAAAAATATTAAACCAAATAATTTAATAAAAAGAGCACGCCAACTGGGAAAAAGAAAAAAGCACTATTTGTTCAATTTGTTGTACTTACTGAATTGAGAATTGTGGATTTGTATATGCATAAAGACCACAAAATAGTTTTCTTTTATGATTGTTCCATATATATCGATTTTGGCTCAACTTAATGTTCTGAGGAAACTCCTGTTAAGGCGTGTGGAGGAAAAAAAGGATTCTAGCATTTTGCTCTCATTATGAGAAATCATTCATTCTTTAGCCCTTACTTACATTTCTCAAAAAATTTCAATTGGTACACGCAAGAAATAAACCAATTAGACAGTTTTTTTTGTTCAATTTCTCATGGAGTGAAATTTTCTCCAGTCCCCTTTGCATTTGATATCCATATAAAAGACACGATGAGCATAAGTACCTTTTTTGACTTTAATTCTAACGAAATGAATATCTTTTATAATGAATCAAAGGAATTTCACCTATTTCATTTAAGGAATTCCCAACATAAAAGACAATATCCCTTCCTTTCTTTTGAATTGATCATAAGCACTACCTACATTCTATGAAATCGTGAACCACATTACAATCTTGTATTGACAATATTAGAGTGCCTAATTTTTTGTCGCTAGTTCATTTCATAGTTAAAACATCAATCAAGTTCCAAATTTCAAGCATTTTAAAGAGCGAAGATTGTACTTTAATATCCAATTTCTCACATTGGTTTTGCTTTTTCGAATGAAAGCAACAAATATAATCAATTCTAATTTTAATAATGAATAATGTTCTTCGTTCGATTCAGTTTGACGGATAATTGAGTGGGCTGATTTCAGGGGATAAATGTAGCATTTAGATGAATGGAAAATAACTTTTCTTGGACTGCACTAAGGGGAATGAAATCTTGTTGTGCAAATGAAAAACCAGATTGACAAAGCATTCGACATTTTTCCAACCTCATTGAATTCTTTATAGTTTGATCATTCTCTGGATTGATAATCATCAACTCAATCACTTTTTACCACCTCAATAATGACAACTATCGTGTCTTTATTCGTAATGGTTCCACTATCAATGTCATTTCTTGCGTCTCTAGTATATTTAGCAACTTCAGAGGATCACGAGCTAGTTCATTTGAAACTCCTCTTAAACTTGACTACTATTAATTGTCCATTATCTCCGGTAATTATAAATACGAGAGCTAACCAACAAGGTCCAAATTCCAAATATTATAAGGATGGGAGGATGTTCGAATCCTACTATTAACTTATTTATAAGTAAATTGTGATTGTAAATGTAATTAATCGTGCCCAACACGATTTATATTTTTGCAATATAACAAGCTTGGTACACTTCTAATATCTTCAAACTCTCTCAAGGCTAGATGCCTAGACCAATTAGGTAAACAAGTTATTTGTTAAATAAATAATTTTCTTGAAATAGCGAACTACGTGACTATGTAAAAAAAAAAAAACAAAAAAAAAGTCAAAAGAATCGATTTGAATTTAAGTGCTTGTTTGGTATAAATTATAATTTTTCATGTCAAACTTTAGTTTTAACTACACGTCTCACATAATTAATAATTACTATTCACTTGTTCATCATTCATTTATATCACTTTACAATTTCAGCAATTTATAATTTTTCCCAAATAATATGATTCGCCATTCTAACCAGTTATAAATAAGTTAGATGTTTGACTAAAAGAGGAATACATTTTTCTATTTTTCCTTTTTTATTTTTTTAAATATCAAATATTTGAACAAGCGATAAATTTCATTTGCAATAATCGAAATTTTAACAAGAATAAATCATTAGCCATAATTTATCAAGTTAATTTTAAATTCTACCGTTCTATCACATTGCATCATTGATTATTGAATTTCATCATTATATTCCATCGTCAATTATCACCAATTTAGAGAAATTGCTTGGAAGACAATCATATTGTAATTGATGTTCCATGCAATTGTTACATGACAAAATGAGAATTATAAAATAGGATTATAGCAATGTCTTTATAGTAAAATGTTAAAATGTTTTTTTTTTGAAAAAATAAAATAAAATTTATGATGTGGCATTCATGATAGTATGACTATCAAATATGTAATTTTCATAAAATTGGTAAATTATAGGGGATAAAGTGGGAATATATATATATATATATATATATATATATTTATATATATATATATATATAGGCTAACCTGGTGAAATTTACCCTCAAATATTTAACGAGGTGGCAATTATTTATTCGGTCGAGGATAACATGCGAAACACGTGGTTAAATATTAGAACACACAAAAAGTAGAAATGATAATAAAAATAGAAATAAAATCCACTACGGCCGTCCCAAGGCACTTCAAAACAGAGTTTTGTAAGGAAAAAGTCTTCAGGTTTCTTTCAACTCCTAAGAAAAGTGCCCACTTCACAAAATCTGTAGAAGTGCTCTTAGAAATGAATCAGTCCATGAATATACGCATTCAAACCCCTTCTCCATCTCTGTAAGTCGTAATTCTTTATACATTTTCCCTATAATTTACATTTTTTTAATTTTTTATGTATATTTTGTGTGTATATGTAAGTATAACTCTGTAAGCTTTATATTCTGTTAGTTTAATTACATCGAAGATCTTGTTTTTGCTAATAAATTAGTGAAATTCATTACATATAAACTTCATTCCTTTATGCATAACGAAGTTTCAGTGTCATGTTAAATTTTCTTGCTTAATTAGATTAGGATTTGCCTGGGGAGGTTAATGGACAACTGTGGAGGCTAGGAGTGGGCTTCTATTTTTAGGAATTTGTTGTTTGAAGGAAGAAACTGACATTTTCGAGGCAAGGGACAGTACATCCTCAAATGGTATGTTACTGGCCCGTTGCAAGTGAGCAGGGCCGGTCCTCTGATTGTCGGGCTTGAGGTGAATTCCATAAATTAGGTCCCGACGAAATCAACGTAAATGCAAAATTCAATAGTATATTATGTGACCTATTGCTAACTTAAAACTAGCATTTAAACAACAACAAAATATATTATAAAAATGATTTATATTATAAAATAACAAAATTAAAGATTTAATCATGGAGTTAAGGAACTTGTGCCAAGTATGAAAGTGTAGATTAAGAAATCGGCATAATTGACTAAAGATTTATTATTAACTAAAATTAAACAAAAATATACATCTAGATTAAAATGCAACTTCTATCCCTTTTAAAGTAGATTTAGAGTGAAAGAATTGTAAAATATAATAATATCTTCGCAAAGTTTTTGTACAAAAATAAGACGAGAACATGGATTTAACAAATACAATCACATAAATATCTATCTTCACAAAGTTTTTGTACAAAAATAAGATGATGACATGAATATTTATAGGCATCGATATATAAAATTCATCAAATTTCACATCATATTCAAGAAAATAAACCCAAAATTTAACCATTTTAGATCTTGTCTTCAATAAATTTACATCAAATCCCACACCATTGGATTTGGGTTGTTTTGCCTTGTTTTGGTTAAAAAAAAAAATAAAAAATTTGGGCTGAAATGAGGCCCCTTATGGTCTTGGGCTTGAGGCGAGGGCCTCATTTGCCTAACCTCAGGACCGGCCATCCAAGTGAGTTAGTGATAGTTATTTGTTAACCCAAAAAAATGTGCCAACAGGTGTCGGGTTCCGCTGAGGTCCACGTAAGCAAATTTTAGCGGCTTTTATACGGATACCTAGTTGGAGATTCGAAGGCTTGTTACGAACATGGGAATAAAAATGAGATATTCAGGATCGAGAGCAATCTAAAATAAAAGAAACGGCTTAAGCCAACATTCAGAAAAATGAAGATAATAATGTATGCTTGAATGTGTATTTTTCCATCCTTTACAATATTACAAAAGCTATTTATAGCGTCCGATCGAACTAGTCACCGTTGGATTAGATCCACGTGGCTCCATCTAATTGATCGAAGTGTTATATCACCCCCTCCCACATTTATTACATTGACGAACACATTTGACAAGGGGTCTGCCGCCCAACATTCCTAGGCATATCTGACATCTATTAATACAAACGTCACATCAATCATTCTCAAAGATACACTCATCAGACATTCTCTAAACAATACAATCACTTCGTTCCCAAGCTACAAAAGGGAGCCTCAAACATGAAAGAGTTTGACTTTGAGGTTGGCTTTTAGGGGAGCACTTCGATAGCGGAGATTTGATGGAGATAGTGTCTCGGCCATGAAGACAATTCTTGCCTTCCTCTTTATTTTGTTTGGATTGACTGTCACGTGTGTATATGGTACGTCCACGTGGCCTCTATTGGGGGCTTCACATATGATCAGTAACATTATTCATTATGAACCTTGTGACTATCTTGATTATCATTGAATTATGGATGCTCGCGAAGCTTGAAACACGGGTAATGATTTGAGAGAGAGGGGATTGACCTGCCATTGGATTGGCTTCATCTTAACTTATCTACTTATAACATACTCAAGTAATTTTAATATTGTACACAGCATGTATTAGTTTCCCAAGGCATAGGTATCCAAGATAAGAAGAATATGCACCATAATATGGATATGTGAAATTTGTGATTTTGTGCTCTAGTTTCTTATGTAAACATAAAATTTTGATATAATTTTGGATGCTTTTGTCTTTGCAGGCTCCTGCCACGAGCAAAAAGCTCTTCTCGCCGGATGTGTCCTTGCTTAGGAGTGCAACTGGAGACTTGTGCCAGTTCAAATTTGTCTAAAACATCCCTAGTTGCTAGAGGTTCCTTGATGTTGTGTAAGATGCAACCTATCTTCAATGAGTCCTTAACAAAAATTTATTCTTCGAAAATTGGAGCATTAGTGACGTCTGGAGCTCCAGAAGTATCAGACACCCTGGTTGTTGGTGATGATAAGATTGGAGTGTTATTACTGAACCTTGGAGGCCCTGAAACTCTCGAGGATGTTCAACCCTTCTTGTTCAACCTTTTTGCTGATCCAGTTAGTATCTGTCAATTTGGTCATTTTGTTTTTTATCTTAATGGTTAACTGTGTTGGAGGTGAAAATACATTATTCTTTGTATATATGTGGATTGGAAATAGGATATTATACGATTGCCAAGACTGTTTCGCTTTCTTCAAAAGCCATTGGCGAAATTCATATCCATTGCTAGAGCCCCAAAGAGCAAAGAAGGATATGCCTCAATTGGTGGTGGTTCTCCTCTTCGTCAGATAACTGACGCTCAGGTATCTCTTTGGTCTAGTTAATTGAAAATTCATTTACTTTTGGTGGACTATGTACAGTATTTGATTATTCAAACTTCAAAGTCAAGCTTCAACAATTTTGTGGCTTTTGATATGCAAATAACTACTTGAAACTTCCATCCAAATAGTTATATATAGGGTTTTTTCATTTGAAGATTTCGTGTGCTATATTTTCCATGATTGGGCATTGAGGGTGAGTAAGCAAAGTAGGAGTGCACATGGATTATCCTGTTTGGAATAATAGAAGCATTCTTTTCTTTTCCATTTTTTTCATATTGATCTTTTGGAGACCTCGGTCAATTCCAACGTCTGTAAATTCATGAATGAATCTCTTCACATGTAGGTTCTGGTAGCGATAGGGTTTGTGTGCTTTCTTCTTTGTTTTATACACCTTAAATACCATCTCTGTTTTTAGTGAAATTGATATTTATAAAATGATAGCTTGTTCATTCTTTACATTATTTCCATATCAATTTTTACTCTGTAACCGGATAGTATTTGATTTCTGTAGGCTGAAGTGTTGAGAAAGGCACTATCTGAAAAGAATGTCCCTGCAAAGGTTTATGTAGGGATGCGTTATTGGCATCCATTTACTGAAGAAGCTATTGAACAGGTAACATTGCTAGAAGATGGATTTCATGTGTTCTCTTCCCCTTTGATATGAACTAGAAGAAATAATCTTGACAGTCATTACTTCAAGGTCTCATTGCTACTATAGTCTGTTTATTATATTTTTACTCTGAAATGATGGTTTTAGCATGTAACATGATGTAGCACTGCAAAGCAGCTTAGATATGTTGTATGAGGTTCATTTTGTGTATTTTGATTCGTTTGGAGAAGCTTGTAAATTTTGAAATTTATGCGCTAGTCAATGCTAGAGGTGTTAGAATGGATATATCCAACTAGATTTAGAGATGATTTGGACAATCATGTGCATAGAGTTAGCAGGAAACCTCTGTATGTCATAGAGTCTAGGGATCTAGTGCTAATATCAAGTTAAGAGTGGCTGAATGCTGTCAGGCTATAAAAGTTGCAGATTTCTCTTTGTTTAGTGATGCATATGAATGTATGTGGATGGTATCTATATCTTTAAGCTGAGTGACTTTTGAGAAATCTCGGAAAATTTGACAACTACATTATTTTTATTTTTACCAATATGGAAATTTGCCATGTTCATGCACAATTAGTTTGTATGAAAGCGAATACTGACACCTCCATGAAGCATATGAGTAAATAACAAAAGGAGGCATAAATGCAATCAACTTAAATTTAAATAAGGTGATTGCTTCTCCTTTCACTCCCTGAAATATAGAGAGAGCGTGACTGAGCAGCAGAAATGGTTAAGTTTCTGAAGCCAAACAAAACGGTGATAGTTCTCCATGGCCTGTATACTGGGCCAAAGGCTGTGGTTGTAGACTCCTCGGATGAGGTGAGGATACGTACAAAACTGAACCTACAGCCAAATCCTGTTGCGGTTGCTTAAGTACCTTTTAAGGTGTTCCATAAGGACTCTATGAGGAAGCTGGCCAAGTCTATCTTGAAGTGCTTCATCAAAGTGATGAACTAAAACCACATATTGCCGACGTGCTACCCCTTGGACGTGGATCTCAAGGACTTGGTGATCCTTGACAACCTCCAGTCTAGGGACAAGAAAGTCAATGCTGCCGTAGAATCAAAGCCTGGTTAAAGGAAAGGGTTAAGACTGCAAAAATTCATTGGTCCTTCTCCAATCAGAGGTTTTGAGATGGCGTTTTGTTAATTTTGGAGCTGATTTTGGCAGTAGTGGTTTACAAAGAGGGATTCAATTTATGGGATGATTTGACTTTCATATTTAAACTTGACTTTTTGTTCAATATTTGTTGTTTATATTTATGCTGAAGCAGATGCTCAGTGTTAATATAAATGTTGGCTTGATTTGATTTATAGAGGGGGGAAAAACAAGGATGTCTTTTTACTTTGTTTCGTTTCGTTTTATTCATCAAAATCCATCTGCGTGATATTTTAATTGATTTAGCTCTTAGCTGTGTATTTAGTTTCTACTTCTTGCTTAACCACTTTGGGGCTGGTTAATCGATCCTTTAATATACAGTAGTTTGACCTATTGTCTCCCTTGTAAACCAAGAACACTTGAGGATTGTCACAATTCTGAAATAGGACCTATGTGATATTTGTTATTCTGCATGGTGATTTTTATGCTAGTTTCTAAATTTTTCCATACAATTTGTTTCTTCTGTTCAGCTCGAAAAACACTTAAAAGTACAATGTTAGCTCTTTCTCCTTTAACTGCCATAATTTCTTTTTATTCTTTAAAATTTCCTGTGCTTGATATATATCGTTTTGCCAATAATTTTAATTTTTTTTTATTTTTCATCAAGATTAAACGAGATAGAATAACAAAACTTGTGGTACTTCCTCTGTACCCTCAATTCTCAATATCAACAAGTGGTTCAAGCCTAAGACTACTGGAAAGCATATTCAGGTAACAGTTGTATGCATCTGGATTTACATTTTGTAGTTTGTCATTACTGTCAAAATCTTGATGCATGTGTCAATTTGTTAAATTAGGGAAGATGAATATCTTGTCAGTATGCAGCACACTGTAATTCCTTCCTGGTACCAACGTGAAGGATATATCAAAGCCATGGCAGATTTGATTGAAAAAGAGTTGAGAAACTTTGAGCACCCTGAGGAGGTAAACCCTATTGCGCACACACATAAAAGTTCATACAAGTAGGACTTTATTCTGTTGTATAATGAGCAACTTGTTATGGAATTTCATTTCTCTCATATAGTAGATTAAGATGCTGTTATGTACATGATATTTTTTCCTATTGTTTGCCAATTTCCTTCATTTTGGTCAACCATATTTCTAATTGTTGTACTATTTTCGAGTGAATGAAGTATATTCCAATTGTTGAATAAACGTGACATAAATCCTGAGCATGTGCCAACTTTTCCATAACTACTACAGAAGACCAGTTCTCTTATTTGAATGCAGTTATGCTATCTAGTGTTTAATTCTGTAACTGATGAAATGGGCTTGATTTCTTCTTCAGGAAGGATGTAAATGGCTTGAACAAGCCTTATTACTTTATAGTCGGGAATTATAAGCTGACTTCCCTGGGACTTGATATATTTTGATCTAATTGGAATCAGAAGGAAATTTCTCAGATTTGTTTATGTATGACAGATATTTTTATGGCCTTTTATTCTGTATAGTCCTAAGTCAAGTTTCATACATTAGAGAGACTTCTTTCATGTTCTATTTGTTTTTACAGGTGATGATTTTTTTTAGTGCTCATGGGGTGCCACTAGCGTATGTGGAGGAAGCTGGTGATCCATATAAAGCCGAGATGGAGGAATGTGTGGATTTGATCATGGAAGAGCTGGAAAAGAGAAGGATAAACAATGGATATACTCTTGCATATCAGGTAAATACTTTACAGCTAAAATACGGTAACTTTACTCAATGTATTACTACAGAAGTATCTCCAGAAAGAAAAAGTTCGAAGAGAGCCAAAAACAGTCCATTATGTTTACTGGCGTATAACAACAATCTAGTCTTGTTCCCAGAAAATGTAAGGTTGGCTACATTATAGTTTTTCTCCACTTAATTTGATCTATCGCTAAGTGTTGTGAAATATCCAATGATATCAATATATGTATCCATCAACACATTTGCATATTTCTATTCTTAAATATGTAACTTTAGCATTTAGGAATGTTGATGAACACGATCTTTAGCATATATATAGTTCTCCTAATCTGATGGTCTTTTAGCCTCTAGGGAAACAAGTTGGCTAATAACAATTATCATTAGTGGTTATTTATTTATTTTATTATTTATTTATTTATTATTATTATTATTATTATTATTGTCAAAGGGCTAAATACAACAGCAAACAAATAATTATTCTCAACCCAGTGAATTTGGGATTGGCTAGGGAATCATTTTGTTCCAATCTGATTGGTTCGTTGCTACGTTAGTTAGAGGACTCAAGGCAACTAGATCCTTCATAATCACAAGCCGTGTTAGTTTTGTCTAGCCTCCTAGCATGCTTTTATGAAATGGAGCTTCTCTAGGTCTATCCAAAAGTTGTCCCAACCGCATAAGTTGTCTTTCCCTTTATTATCCTTAATCAATGCTATTTCCATGCTTTGGCGTTTATCATAATCTTAACTTGTCCATCTTAATATTTCTGTTCATTCATTTTAAAATTCTCATTTTCACAATGTTAATTTTAGGACATTTTGTTGTTAATAGTTCAATGCTCAATGCAACAAAGCATTGTAGGTCTAATGACTGTTTTGTAGAATTGACCCTTTTAGATCATAGGAATCTTTCCCATCACACATAATTTCGATAGCAGTTTTCCTTTTATCCAACTTGTTTTAGTCCTTTGCATTATATCATCAATTCCTCCTTTCCGGTTAATAATCAAATCCAGATACCTAAAACAGTCACTTTTTAGGGACAATTCAATCCTTCGTAGTAAGTTCATAAATATTTGTGTCCGACATGGGTACTTCATGCAGTTACAGTTAGAGAGAGGTGAAGTTACGCAGGATGTGATGGTCCATGAGAGAGTGGTTCATCATCGCCTCGTGATCTCAGAATTGGCGTTGCACATTCATTCGAAGTATTGGACAGACACAGCAGAGTCTAAGCCCAACAATAATACTTAGGGACCAAGCTTAGCATTTTGATAGCGTACTTTTACTGTACTTCATCTTATGTTGCTTTCAAAGCGTAAACTGATTTTGGATGGATCCATAATGTGCACCAGTATCTCACAGTTGGATCATGAATAAAAAGATCACCACACTTTACTAACATCAACTGATGATACCAAGCCCCTCCTTGATCCACATTTTCTAATACTCATTTTCCTCAAATTCATTTTCACGCATACATTTCTTGGAGCCAACAACTTTGCAACCACACATTTCTTCTACTTTAATCAAAATCTACCAAAAAAGTAAAAAAATAAAATAAATAAATAAAATAATTATTTTTAGCTAATCTGAATAGGGGCTAAATGAAATGTTAACCTTTTAATTAGTTAGCATCATATGAGAAGGGGCTAAATGAAATGTTAACCTTTTAATTAGTTAGCATCATATGAGAAGGAATTTTATCATTCAACTCTTCCATATTATTTCTCAACAATGTTCTGAAGGGAATTTTTTGTATTTCGCATACTTAATTCAGAAGTTTACAGCTATTTATACATAATGAATTTTAGAGAATCAGTAAAAAAGATTTAGTATGTATAGGATACTACCAAAAGTTGATCCTCGTTGGTCATGTCAGAACTCATTCAGATTCCTAAATAACATTGTTGGTCATGTCAGAACTCATTCAGATTCCTAAATAACATGATGCGCTAAAATAGCTTGTCATAAGATTATGAAGTATGAACATGAAAACAGACATAACACGACGTGGACACATTGATGTGTAACTCATCGGCGAAGGACGAAAACATGCAGGGGACAAATCAATTAAATGATATAACTGAACTTTTATATTTTATATATTTACTTTTCTTAGTTTTTAATTTTCTAATTTGTTGGTTGGTTTTCCTCTGATTCAGAGTAGGGTTGGACCAGTGGAATGGTTGAAGCCCTATACAGACGAGAGAATTATTGAGCTTGGACGTAAAGGAGTTAAGAGTCTTTTAGCTATCCCAATTAGGTAGATGAGAATGTTCACCTAACCAGTTTGAATTTGATGTTGGAAACTGTCATTGTTCTGAACATTTTTGGTCTCTTTTAATTATTTATTTAATTACCTCCTATCTATTTATTTATTTTTGGTTGGGTTGGGGTTACTGGCAGGCTGCAAGGTTTGCATTTATCTTCATTTTGTTTGTAAATTGCAAACTTATATTCTTTATCTTGGTTTTCATCACAGTTTTGTGAGTGAACATATTGAAACATTGGAGGAAATAGACGTTGAATACAAGGAGTTGGCTCTAAAATCTGGTATAGAGAAATGGGGACGTGTTCCTGCACTTGGTTGTGAACCTACTTTCATTTCAGATTTGGCTGATGCAGTGATTGAAAGTCTTCCATATGTTGGAGCAATGGCTGTCTCAAATCTCGAAGCTCGACAGGTGAACCATGAATTCCGAACTTTTAATATAAAATAGGGGTTTTAAACCATCTAATTTTGAGATGAAATATACATTAATTACCACATGCATGAATGAAGTGAACACAGAAACATTGTTTGCATGTGAAAGTAAGGACTTGACTGGAATTTAGTTAAATAAAACCAGAAAATGATAATTATGAAATTGTAATTGTGATTTGTAAAAACTATAGTTCGAAATATCACTTGTTTATAAAAAAAATTATATACAAGTAGAAGAAGATTCATGAAGCCAATCCCATATAAATATGGGATAATGCTTGTTGAATTGAGTGTGTACAATATAAGTTCTTTCTTTATGTTTGATGAAGAAATGACTTAATTCTTGGTTTTTTTGAATTGCATGCACAGTCAAACAAATGGATGGGATTTAGGTCTTTAGCGTTTTTTGTGCCTTTTTTCCTGATAAATTTAGTGTGCAACGAAAATAGTATATTGTTAAGATGGTTTATATAACACCAGTCTTGCCATCGATTCTGCTGAGTTGAATAACGTGTTTAAGAAGACGACCAATTTGGTTATGATATTAGCAACCAAGAATCTAGATGGTTGGAGTAGCTCCACTTTTCCCCATTAACTACACAAACTATGGATTACTTGTTCTTATTACTTGGCATACTTCTCCTGCTAATAATGCTGACCCTTGCATTTCTAATTATTTAATTTTTGTTACTCCTTACTTTGTATAAGCATTTAATTGGATAGCATGAATAAAACGTAACATTACGGTAAAATTGTAGTTGCAAGAATAAGAGTCTATTTGGGAGTGATTTTGAGAATTGATTTTTTAACCGTTATGAGAAAAGTGGAGTCCACCTTTGAGAGAAGAAGTAAAAAATGACAGCTGAAATACTGAAATAACGCTAAATAAATCAAATTTTTTTTTTTTTTTTTTTTTGGGTTTTTAGTTGAAATTTTGTTAAGTTATCAGTTGAAGTTTTGTTAATAGGCCGACTAATGGGCTTAGAAACCAGCAACCTTGTGAAACTTGACATTAAGCATTCATCTATGGTTCAAGTTAGTAAGGACTTAGATTTGCTGATAGGGTCATTACTGTCGTTCTATATTTCCTATTTCATTCTCCTTTTTTTCCTTGGGGGAGAAGGAAAGTTGTGCTATATTTCTAGGCTAAATTACTTGCAGACCAGTGAAGGGTTATTGATTTGGGGGGACTGCAAGGCCCTACTTTTTGCTTACAAAATGAGTTTTCTCCTTTGTCCTCATGTAACCTAGTACAACTACAGAAACTACCACGTCTATATTTTTCACATAATAATAATTGAGCTAACTCTAAGAGTATCTTCAAGAGACTCTATTTTTTAAAGAGCATATTCTACAATTTAGAGATAATCTATAAATTTAGAAAGTAAAATTTTTTTAAGTACTTTAGCAAGTTCTTTATATTTAACATTTAATTTTATTACTCTCAAAAAATAGTTATTGTTTTTCTCTATTTTTTATTTTTACTAGCTTCTCTCCAAATTATTATCTTCTTTCATTGGAAATTGAAATACTTTGAATGCACTTAATTTTAGAGAAAGCAAATGTTAATTTAAAGAGTCTTTTGAGTATAATTTTAAGAGTTGACTCTTTAGAATAGAGAGCATCCTATGTTTAGTCTTTTGGATATGCTCTGAGGGAAAGACTTTACTATTTGAGTTTTTCACACCGTATTAGTTTACATTTTTTTAACATTATGTTTAAATATCATCGGCACCTTTCTTGTTCTCTGCAGTCTTTAGTTCCACTTGGCAGCATCGAAGAGTTACTAGCCGCATATGATTCACAGCGTAGAGAGCTACCACCTCCTGTGACGGTTTGGGCGTGGGGTTGGACAAAAAGTGCTGAAACTTGGAATGGAAGAGCGGCTATGTTGGCCATCCTTGTTCTGCTGGTGCTGGAAGTGACCACTGGAGAAGGTTTTCTGCATCAGTGGGGTATATTGCCCTTATTTCGATGACAACAACTTTTCAAATCCGTCCCTCCCTTCCTCTTATCTTCTGAAAACAATTGCCCTAAAGTTCAGCATTCACCGTGAAACTGGGGGATGATTAAAGATAATTTGAATTTTTAATATAGATATGAAGTAGTCAGATTCTGAGAACAAGACCTGTACATAAGCTAACACATTGGCTTGTATATCAATTCATTCCAAGCTTCAGCTGCATTCTTCTTGCAGCTCTTGAAGAGCTTCCAATACAGCTCAGCCTATAAAATGGGAAAAAGGGAGGGTGGGAGAAGAGAAGGAAATGGAAAAACTTGGAAGTATGTAATATTTTAAAGAAAATATAAAATAGCTCAAAATTTGAAGATCATTTGGCTTTCTCATATTAAAGATCAATTCTTCCCATTCTTCCACTTCTCTGTTTATCTCCAATTTTATTATTCGATGTTACGTGAATCTGCTATGAGAAAAAGAAACAAATGGTGTCTCTTCATAAGCATTTTCATTGTCATTTTGATATTCCTTCAATAACTTGTATTTTGTTGAAAAGTTGTACTCCTGGCCACTGTCTTTGAAGTGCAAGACATGGACACTCCAATTTTCCCTTTATTGTCTTGTTATCACTTTTTTGTTCTCTATTTACCTGTATATTTCATTTTTTTCTTTGTGATCCCAGGTTCCGATTTTCGGAATTTCCTTTCTTTACAGCTAATATCTGTAATATGCTGCAAATGGAACCAAATGATTACTCTTTCCGACCCCACTTCGTATCATCATCAAGAATTTTGCAAACACAAGTTAAGAATTCATCATCACTTATTTTTAAAGGCACGTATGGGACCATTTTTCAAGTTCTGTTACTATTTCATGGGTTGGTAGCATTATTTTCTATCAAATATCAATTTAGCCTTGTTTAAGTCCCATTTTTGGTTTTGATAATATTATTGAAGAATATGTGGTTGAAATGATATTAAAACACTGTTTATATATATATATATATATATTTTTTTTTTAAATTTTTAATTTTTTGTGAAATGAATGAGATTCAAACAACGGCTCAAGGCACATGCAACCAAATAATTACTCTCTTTCCAACCCCACTTCGTATCATCATCAAGATTTTTGCAAACGCAAGTTAAGAATTTTCATTCATAATCACTTATTTTTAAAGACACGAATGGGACCATTTTATAAGTTCCTGGATTTTTATTTTTATTTTTTTATTTTTTGGTCTGGCATGCCTCATCCAACAGCATTATGGGATAAACTTTGGGGCCCAAAAATAATCTTTAGGTCACTATATGATCAACAAGCCAACCAAAAGTATTTAGGCCCCTATAAATATTAATTTAACAAAAGATTAGAGAAAAATAATGATGAATCATTTTGATATACACTAATCTACCTAATACTAAACAACACATTGATGTCTAGAATAAATAGAAATGCACAAGAATAAAAATCTTGATGTCCAATCTACTTTCGACGTTATTTTCCAAAACGTAACTTTTAAATTTTTTCCGATTGTACTTTTGAAATTGTATCCCAATACTCACTAAACTTTAAAATTTTCCAAAATAATGATTATGTTTTTTTGAAGTCGCTCCTCAACGATTATTGTACTTTCATGTTCTCTTCGGTCTTCCATCCATAATCCGGATTTACGTTTATAGATATAACAATTTCGTAAGCCATATCATCGAAAGTGTTAGTTTCCAAATAGAAAGAGATGAAGTGATAAGATGAAAAATATTGAAAGGCCTATTCATAATGACGATTGAAAAATTTCTATTGTACCTTTTTCACCATCTCTTTCCTTCAATAATTCCTTCGCTTCACTTATATTCCACCGGCTTGGTTGTCAGGCGCGAGACTTTTAATCCTACCAACACAATCCATATAACTCGGCATTTTGATTGCAATAATAAAACTTAGCCAACGAGAAAGTTTAAAAATTCATCATTACCATCTTTGTTTGCTAGGATTGAGGCCGACTAAGAAGAATTTTAACATAAAAATAAGAAAAGAAAAAGGAAAAAGGAAAATTAATGGATTATGTAGGACATCTATGTTGAACACATTATATTGCAACGGAGTGTTATGGGTCCCTAATATGAGGGAAAGGAGAAAAAGGAGATGAAAGAAGAATCTGAATCAAAGCTGTACAGTTTAAGTTTCCTTTCCAGACTGGTCCTCTCATCCCCCTCACCTCACCCCACCCCATCCCACCCCACCATCAACCATCCTATTATAAGTTTATAACACCCCTTCCGTTCTTCCCAAACACATATACAAAACACAGATATTTAGCATAAGATCTAGAAAAAAAATATGGCCGAGGAAGTCAAAAAGACAGCTCAGGAACAATCAAAATGTGTTGAATCAGAAGAAGTTGCTGTTGTCACTGATGTTCCAGAACCTGAAAAACCCACAATGGAAGAGTCCCTTTTAGTTCCCGAACCCGAATTTCCACTACATTCAAATGCTTGTGATGAGAGTGTGAATTTGGAGACATTGATGATTGTGGAGAATGATGAGAAGCCTCCTCAAGCTGATGCTGTCAAGAAAGAGATCACTATTAATGCTTCGTCTAAACTTTCAGAAAACGAAAAGAAAGCATTAGAAGAGCTAAAACAGCTTGTTCGAGAAGCACTCAACAGGCATGAATTTGGAATTTCTTCATCTCCGAAAGAAGAAACAAAGCCGGTCATGGTGGAGGAGGAGAAAAAGCCCATAAATGTCGAGCCTGAAGTAGAGAAAGATTCAAAAGAAGAAATTGAAAAAGACTCCATTCCAGAGGATCTAATTGAGGAAAATGAAAAAACTGTTGTGGATGACGATGGTGCAAAAACTTTGGAAGCCATTGAAGAAACCATTGTTGCTATTCCAGCTCCAATTCCTTCAGAAGAAAAGCCACAGGATACAGTGAATTTATGCAATGCAAACTCACCTCAATCTTCATTAAATCAGGTTGATGAATTATACATCTGGGGTGTAAAACTTCTGGAAGATGAAAAAAGTGATGTAATTCTCTTGAAGTTTTTGCGCGCCCGAGACTTCAAGGTCAAGGATGCATTTTCCATGATCAAGAACACTCTACGATGGAGAAAAGAATTCGGGATTGATCAACTTCTTGAAGAAGACTTCGGGAGTGACTTGGAGAGAGTAGTTTTCATGCATGGTTGTAGTAAAGAAGGCAACCCTGTATGCTACAATGTCTATGGAGAATTTCAGAACAAAGAGCTTTATCAGAGAACATTCTCTGATGAACAGAAGAGGCAGAAATTCTTGAGATGGAGAATCCAGTTCCTAGAAAAGAGCATTAGGAAACTGGATTTCAGCCCCTGTGGCGTATCCACGATTATTCAGGTTAACGATCTTAAGAACTCGCCTGGGCCTAATAAATGGGAGCTCAGGCAGGCAACAAAACAGGCCCTTCAATTGTTTCAAGACAATTATCCTGAATTTGTTGCCAAACAGGTAAATTATTTGTTAATTTTGATTTTGACCCTTAGTTTGAATTTAAGTACTTGGTATTTACATTGCTTGGTTTTAGGTGTTCATCAACGTACCATGGTGGTATCTAGCTTTGAACAAAATGATCAGTCCTTTTCTAACTCAGAGGACCAAAAGCAAGTTTGTTGTTGCTGGACCTTCAAGATCTACAGAAACCCTTTTCAAGTCAGTGCTAAGTTAAATTTACTAGTAAAAAATACGTGAACCCCGAATTTATATTTTTTTATATTTACTCAATTTACTGCTCATTGTCATGTTTAATAGATACATAGCTGCTGAGCAAGTTCCAACTCAGTATGGAGGGTTAAGCAAAGATGGTGATTTTGGAACAGCTGATTCAGTTACTGAGATTATCTTAAAGCCTTCAGCCAAGCACATTGTGGAATTTCCTGTTAATCAGGTGAGTTGTGTTATGATCATAGTGTCCATGATGAATGTAAACAGTTATCTTTGTTAACTTATGCTTTTTACTTATTTGGTTAATTTATTAATTTGACTTTAAATAATTTCTATAAATCACTAACTTGGATCTGAGATTTAGGGTTTTTTCTTCTTCTTATCTCTTTAAGAATTAAATGTATATTATGATCATATTGTAATACATACTCTTGCATCCATTAGTAGTCAACTGAAAGTTTTCTTTTTATTTAGTTTTAGTAAATATTTGATCAACCAATTTGATCCAATTTGATCAACCATCATCAACGAGTAATCCTAATATGGGTGGATTTGGTCAGAGAGATGCAGGTTACTTCAAGATCCATTTAGTGTCCAAGGCTTTTGTTCTTTTTGGCATATGTTATTTTGGCACAAATCTTTTTGGTTCTTTAATTAAAAAAAAAAAAAAAAAACTTTGAGAAGGTTTGACCAAAAAAGGGGAAAAAAGGAAAAAAGACCAAAAACAAAAGAAAAGAAATCAACACTGTTATCTTAAAGACAACCCCAAGAGTCAACAATCATCTAATTCTATTTCTGGTACTCAACATTAATTGAGCGATCAATTTTATTTGATTTTCAGGCATGCTTGGCGAGCTGGGAGATAACAGTGGTGGGATGGGAAGTAAGCTACGGTGCTGAATTTGCCCCAAGTGCAGAAGATGAATACACAGTTATAATACAGAAAATGAGAAAAATTCACTCAACTCAAGATCAAGAACATGTGATTTCTGATAGCTTTAAAGTTGAAGAGCCTGGGAAAGTAGCTTTGACTATAGACAATCCCACTTCGAAGAAGAAGAAGATTCTCTACAGGTTCAAAACCAAGCTTTCTTTTGAATAAAAATTACAAAAATATTACAAGGGAAAAGTACTAAATTAAAGCCAGGAAAAAGTTGTGAGAATGAGCAATCCAAATGTCCTTTTTCTTTAACCAAAAATTTACATGTTGAATTTTATATTTTTGACCAATGTAAGTTGCATTTCAACTGGTTATATGAATTAATGGGGCATTTGAAAAAATGTCCAATTCTATATATGTTAATTCAAAAATGTTTACTTTTGATCATCTTTGCAAAAATGATCAAATTTGATATCAAATTCTCTATTTTACTCTTAATGAAAGAATAAATAATATCATACTACACATGTCAAATCACAATTAATGCTAGACATAGAAATGTCGAGAATAACATTTAAATTGTAGAGAAATATTATGTTCAGAATGAAATGTCATTCTAGAAATTTAATATGTCGAGAACAATGTTTGAAATGTCCAAAACATTTAATATTATGATTTGAAATGTGTACTTTTGAAATACAAATGGATTGAAATATCGAGAACGACATTTGAAATATCGAGAATATCATTTTAATGTAGCTTTTCACGGAAGCTAATTATGGGTATTCTCATCCAAATAATTGTAAAAATGGATATTGAAAAATTTTAGACATTTTTGCAAATGACTTTCAAAATGGACATTTTTTTGTAATTTCCTCCAAATAATTAATTTATCTTTATTTTGATTGTTAGTACTTGGTAGGGTTCGAACGTATTTATTCTCAGCCCTTATATGAAATGAAAATGAATTTCTTTTCTGTCACTAGGTTATTTATATTCTTGAAAATATATTTTAAATGACAAGAATGTTCAAATGCGCCATAGGTAGAAAAAATAAAAAATTGGTTGAACTCCCTTCGTGGTAACCACTTAGTGTAATCAGGTAAATGTACTTAAATTTTGTGTAATTGAGTAACTATACTTTAATTTGATTTCAGTCTGATAACTTCATCCAATTTCATCACTTAAACGATGAAAATTGATACCATTATATTTTAAAAAAATGATGGTCGTCATTTCTTTCATTAAAGTCATAGTTATTCTATGTTGGCAACTAATAGTTATATGTAAGGATCATCATTTATTGATTGTCACATGATCAATTTATGTCGATGGAATAGGACGAAGTTACTTTAGTTGAAATTAAATCAAATTGTAGTCACCTAGTTGACAAGAAGTTAAAGTGTAGTCACCCAGTTGAAATTGTATAATTGGATTCTCCAGAATTTAAATCAAATTAAAGTGTAGTTACCCCAATTGAATAAAATTAAAGTACAATTACTTAAATTGATATATATATATAACTTTCATTGTAATTAAGAAACATGTAAATATAAAGGACTAAAAATAAATAAAAACACCATATTCTTCCCCAAATTATTATTATTATTATTATTATTATTATTATTATTTGACAACTGGATCAGTGCATATTAGGTTTTCTATGAAATCATCAATTTATCAAAAGACGAGACATAAAAGAATTGGAGCTATCAAAGAATCAAAAGCAAAAGTGATGACCAGAAGAAAGCAAAAGGTTATATAAGCATTAAAATCGATCTCGTGGATAGGAGATATCTTGTTTACTAATGATATAATATTGATTAGACAACTTCACATCAGCAAGTTAATCGTTGAATTGTTAAAAATTGTAGACTTGACCTTTGACGTAACATTGTCATGTCAACGAGAAGCAAGATATCTCAAAAATAAAAAATAAAAAGAAATAAAAAAAGGGAAGCATTATATTAATACCAATGAACTAGGTTGCATGGAAACAAAAATGGAAGACATGATGCGAAGAACGTGACTACTTGAAATGTTATTTTTAAAAATAGGACAGGAAATGCAGTACTAAAAAAAAATTACAATTCAGGTTTATAAAAAAAATATTTAATTTTAGAAAAAATAATATTTTCAAACTCTAATGACATGTTAATTTAATATAGTATAAAACATGAAATTATCGAAAATTGTACTTGAAGCCAAAATTTAGGCTAATTCTTCTTTAAAGCCCAAAATTAAGTTAATAACAGTTGAAGCTCAAAAATTGTTAGTAGTGATTTTGAGGGCGAATTCAAGATTGAAGTCCAGTTAGAGCGGAGGTTGACTGTTAATAGTTGACCATCAACAATCAACGATCGTAATAGTCCGATCATTTATTTAAATTTGATTAAAAATAATATTAAAAGTCATTCAATAATCATTTCTCATTAAAACATAAATTACTTATTATAAATCACAATTCCAAACATAGTTTCGTAAACATAAATTCCCAAATCAATATTCATTCCTCGTTAAAATATAAATTACTTATAATAAATCACAATTCGCAAACATAATTTAGTAAACATAAACTTCCAAAACATAAGTCATTCCTCTTTAAAAGATAAATTACTTATAATAAATCACAATTCGCAAACATAAATTTCCGAAACTATAATCATAACATAATTAACATTCATTCGTCATTACTCAATGTCAACAAGTCAAGTGGCCAAAAAAATAAACATAAAAAGAGAGAGAGAGAGGGAGAAAGAGTCACCAGTCACAGACTTACGACACTCAGACTCGGCTCGCAGTCGGCATTCGGCAATAGAAGCTGCAAAACATAGCGTCTGTGCTCACTGTGCTGCCTCTTCTTCAATTTCGAATGGAATTTGGAATTATAGAATGGGGATTGAGTCTCTCCCTGTCTACGCCATGTGGATTGGAGAGTGGAGAGGGGAGGAAAATTGGAAAAGGGTTTGGCTTTCTTTCACGAATTGGGAATTGAGCATTTGGATTCTTTCTTGGATCGGTGGCTATGGCTGCCTTTGAAAGAAAATGGTTGGGCAGTGGGCACTTGGGCCAATTCCCAATTCACGAACAAGTGGTTTGATTATGGAGTCTTGGACCATTTGTTAATTGCATATGAGAATTCAATTGGGCATTTGGGCTAAACAAAAATAGGCTCAGTAACAATTACTTCAGGCTCAAGCCCAAACCAAAAAAATAAAAAATAGGCTCAGTAACATATTATTTATACGTGTTTAATACACATGTGACATGTGCGCATTTTGAATTTGAGTAATACATTAATCGAGCAAAAAATCATCATCTGTAGAAATATATATTCCTACATAGTTATGTGAGACCTAGCATGTTTAACCATGTTTAAAAGTATATTTTTAAGTGCTTTTTGGATTCTATTTGTGTAGCATTAGCGTTCACACTAATTGGAAATGCACTTAAAAAGTTGCTTTTAAACACGACCTAACATGCTATCAGATGGCAATGGTCTTACCCATTGTTAAATCATAATCAAGTAATAGTATACGATAATTTGACATAATAGATTAATAACTCACATATAGGAAAGAAGCCTAACATTATCTAGCAAAAGGATAATGAGAACAATTTTATGCAATGATTTGGGGTTCAAGCACTCAACTAATAACATGTTTGACTAAGTTCAAAAGCTACTTAAAAGAACTTAGCTAATCAAGTTAGTAATCTACAGCTCTATGCCTTTTTTTTTTCTTATATGTATTTAATTTTGCTATTTTATAATAGATTTGAATAATAGATGTTTACATTTCGTGCGTGCATCAAATACGTGTGTGTAATTATACATATACACGTGTCTGATACACGTACGTGATATGAACATATTTTGATTCAAATGCACATCTATCATACATGTTTTGCTAGCTAGGCAGCTTATTCAGTAATTTTCATATGTTCTTCTAGTACGTAATTTTGTCGTATATTTTTATTTGTAATTTTTTTTCTTGTTTTGTTTTGACCAACACAGAAGTGACAATGCCCGGAGCAGAAGCAAGAGTTTGCGAATCAAGGAGCCATGGATTTAGGGGTCCTTGCCTTGGCGACCACAACTGCGCGCTGGTTTGCCGAAATGAAGGTTTCTCCGGTGGAAAATGCCACGGTTTCCACCGTCGATGCTTCTGCACTAAACTTTGTTAAGTACAATGTTTGCACTTTAAAACATCATCATGGTTTTGACACTTGGAATTTTTGTGGAATTTGATGAAAATAAATAGTTTGTTCTTCTATGTACTCAAAATTTCCTTGTCCAGGACTGACTTAGTATTTGTTGTCGTTTTTGCTTAATTGCTGAGTGGGAAGTATTACGTTAAGACCATTTACTTATGATGAATATTTTGTTGAATTTTGATACTTGTACATCAGGATTAACACACCGGTGTACCGACCCCTCACAACAAGTAGGGGCCTACGACGAATAAAAAAATCATAGACTCCCCTATTGTGAGGGGGTCGGTACAACCCCGGTATATGAGTAATAAGATTTTATTTTGTTACTAGTGAGCTGGGTTAGTTGAAAGTGGGTTAACTAAATCAATGCTCACTGAATTTTACTCTACGTTATTACTTGTTCACTGAACAAAAAAGGTGTTACCATTACTCATTCATATATTCAAACGTTTCTCCATTCATCATTCCTTTCAAATCTGTTCCCTACGATTGACAAAAATTTCTAGATTTGTGATGGGAAGCTAATGTGAAAGCTTGAAGATGTTAATTTGCCCAATTAGATTAGAAACGCATCCGACCAAAATGACAGCGCTTATCTAATTACTAAAACACACTTCTTCTAAACCTTAAAAATAAAAAATCCCCAAATTAAAAACACAAAATATCCCAAAAATAAAAATTCTTAACCTAAAGTGCAATCCGGGTTACAACCTGGACTAGTGAACTGGGGTAGTTGCAAGCCCAATCGTTAACGTGTTGAACAACCCAATATTATGAAGAGTAATATTATGTAGAATCACTACTATTAAACACAAATCTATGTCCCTCATATGTATCATTATTCGGCAGTAACAAGAATTGGGCCACAACAAGGAGAAAAATAATTGGGCCATAATGAGGCCCAAATTGATTCATGGGGCTAAAATTAATATGTTGTAACAGAGGTTGATTTACCAATTTTATAGATAGGTCATCGAGAGCACAATAAAATGAAAGAATGAAGGATTATGTCGACCTCACCCCTCATATTTTTCAATCAAACTCTTGTTGTCCCTACGCGAATTTTTACAATAAATTATTTTTATTTTTTTATTGGTGATTCGATAACTTATAAAGTCTAGGTAGGTGCTTGTCTGTTAAGGAATATCAACCTTTGATTCGATGATATCAATGGAACAACATATATGCTATGAGTTAATATAATGCTTGGTGTCCTCGTCGAACATTATCTCATGCTTGTCGACTTGCTTTAGGTCAAGATCAGACAATCACGTTAACATGATTGTAAAGTCAATTCCTTGCGGTGTACATCTCACCTCTATAAATAGGGTGTTAGCGCTTGTCTAATTAGAGAGAAAGGGAAAAGTTAGTACCCCACTCCTAACAAGGTGTTGAGTTGATATTTTGAGGCTATTGACTTTAACGCTTATGTAATATATAAAGAAGAACTCTCTTAAGATATTTTTATTTAAGGAATTTATATCGACTAACGAGACAGAATTAAAATTCTTGATGTTCCATGAATTAAGCTTTTATTACTTTTTTTTTTCAATAAAATGATTAATTTAATGATATATTTATCGAGCTTTAATTTTTTCCATTTCCCTTGTTGTAAACACACCTTATTTAGGATTGAGACAATTTAAATAAATGAAGGACCGCATGGTTTGAAAATGAATTTTTAAAAGAACTTCCTATTTGGGCAGTGTTTGTAGAGAAAGTTATATTAGATTAGCTTCTTCTTCAAAAGCACTTTTATAAAATTAGTCAAACGAGTTCAAAAGCAACTTTTTAATCTAAAAAGCTCTTTTTGACTTTTAAAAAATCATTCTAAACGGTCCAAAGTCGATGATATAGAATAGAAGAAACTTGTGTATTAATTAATTTTTTACAAGAAACAATTATGACCGCATTCTTTATTAATTAAAATCGTATTCTTCATTATTTATTCTCCTAGCATTTCCTACCAAGGTTCCATGAATGGAGATCCTAAGATGTCTATGTTAAAAATAAAATTAATATATCAAATGCATAATTTGTAACAAAATTAGACCTGCCTTAGTTTAAGCCTTTATTTATTAAACAACAGAAGATAAATTATGAAAATGAAGATTTAACAGAATCCTTTTGTAATGAGTGCATTTAATAAATTTTAATTTATTAAATGTAAAAACCTACTTTTAATTCTTTCTTTGTAAGTAGTGTATTTAGTAAATTACATACCACTATCATCTCATAGAGATACGTATGCTTTCATTTTCACACAGAGCAAGTAAATTTAATTAATATGGTTTAAAATATAAATTTTTACTTACATTTTTCTAATACATCCCCATATTTAATAATAATTTGTATATGAGTACTGAGTAGTTCATATTTGTTGATTGCAAGACACATTAACTATTCACATATTAAAAAATTAAAAAATCAAGAAAAGAAAGCGATACATGTTTCTTGGAAAAAGAGAAATGAAGAACAGAAATAGAGAGCAACGCAACGTATAAAGAGTTTTTCCATCTAAATTTAAATATGCTCAATATAAATAAAAAGTCTTAAAAATCCTCCATAAATATAGTAATAAAAAAACAAAATGATAAAATTATTTTCGGATCACGTAATATGACTTATTTCATTGTTATTGTCATACCAAAAGATGCATTTAGCGCTCATTTGGTAGTAATTTTTCACTCAAAAAATCAATTATTTTACTATTATTTCATTATTTCAACTATTATTTTTGATTTCTTCACTCACATGTGAGACTCATTTTTCTCTCTAACGATCAAAATATTAATTTTCATAATCACTACCTCTGTCAAAGAAATCTATCGCCACAAAATATTGAAAACAACGTAACTAAAATTTAAGGATATCTATTTATTAATTGTTCAGTCCACTACACGATATACATATGTATGCAAAAGGTGGCAGCGGCTCACCGAACCATACCAGATTCTCACCTCCCAAACAATTATAAACTCGCAAAATCAATATATTAATACCTTTCTAGAAGAAAGATTAATTATTAATTACTTAACGAATTAATCTGTCGATGAGATCACATTTAATATGACTGCTGGGATCATTGTTTGGTAGACAGGGTTAAGTCAGCTCTGGTGGGTATATTTTCAGCTTCTTTACAATTAACGATGAACAGTTCATAAAGACTTGAAGCCAAAATCATTTGGCATATAGTCATTTCATACTTAAACTTTCTTTTTAGTTTCATAAATTTTTCTATAATCGTGATTAATACTAATGATCAGTTTCATGTGACTGATAGATTTTGAGACGAGACACTTCTTCTATATTAAATTATAAATTACTTACCAAATAAATTGAAAATGAGTCATACGAAGAAAAATTTGAATTTTCAAGTCTATCATTCGAGGTTTTTCTTTTTCGTAAAAACTCCATTTTTGGACAACACAAAAATGTTAGGACAACATTTAATTAATTATGTGGGATTAGCTTTTAGTTTTTGTCATGATTACAGATGAAAGGGTAAACTAGAACAAAATATAAGATGGGGGATTGAGTTGAAACAAATTGAAGCTGAGTGATCAATATGAACAAGCCTATAAGTTTAGTGACCTATAGTGAAATTTTCCCTCCAGTGAACATTTGGGTAGAAGCACAATTTATTTTTCATTTTTATTGTAACCAGGACAATAAATTGAAACTTGCTAGCTTTGAATTATAAAATTACGTTCCACCTTTTCTTACTTTGTATACATCTTCCTATTCGAAAATAAGATGAACTGATAACAAAATATTTTGTACTTGGGAGAAAAATGACAATTAATGATGAGATTTTTAATGACAAAATATGATCGTTAAATATTATCCTTTACAATAAAAAATAAACATTTTCTAGCGAAATTTGATTGTCGATGTAAAAAAATAATAATAATAATAATAATAATTGATAG